GAACATGCTTAGGGGCCAAATGGGGGCACAGTGGTAAAAAGCAAAACTCTCTGGAGCAGACCCACATGGGAAGGTTCTGATCTGTGTCCAGAAACCTCCCTAAGCAACCAGGCATGTGTGGTCCATGACCCTGGGGCTGGCTGAGGCTGGAGAGACAGAGTATAATGTTGGTACGGGTTGGGAGTGCTCTCTCTTTTGCTCATGAAGGAAATAAACTTGAAAAAAGAATATTTTTTTCAGTCTTAATTCACTTTATTTTTCTTGTAAGAAAACCCTATGTAGTGGCCACAGCTAGAGCCTGGGTCCTCTGCATGGAGACTGATGTGGGTTTTGACAAGATGGTCAGGGAACTCCTCACAGGGAGACCTGGTGAACATGGTCTCTCCTTCCAGAGGTCGGGGGTCAGATACCTGTAGGTCTTAGAGATGGCATCAAAGGTGGTCTTGGCGAAGTTGCCCTGGGTGACCACGCAGGCCCTGGCTGGGATGTAGCAGCTGGTCACCTTGCAAGGGACACTGGGGCTCACCAATCTTGTTCCCCTCAGTAGCGTCTCTGTGCAGGGACAGTGGAGAGCTTGGCCAGCAGGATGGCACCTCTGATGGTGGTGGTCACTTCTTTGGAGCACTTCACACTCAAACCAACATGGCCATTGTAGTCCCAATATGACCAATGCCTTGAACCTGGTCCCCTGACCAGCACAAATCTGCTTTTGCACAGGCATGATCTTCAAAACCTTGAGAGGTGTCCCCAAGAAAAAGTCAATCGTCTCAGACTCCTGGATGGCCAGAGAGAAGAGACAGATCAACTCCAGGGATTTGATCTTCCTATCTCTGACCAGGGGGCCCAGCTCAGTGACTGGAATCCAGTCTTTGTCCTTGGTCTTGTCTCCGTGAGCTCCATGGCCTTGGCCACAGTCTCAACTCCAGCCTCAAGGCAGCTGCCCAAGCCTCCATAGAGGGCGCTGCTGCCTCCCATCCTAGGGACCATGGGGCCTCTGGATTCTCCTGCTGTACCAGTGTCATCTGCCATTTGGTGTTTTCTCAGAGAAGAATATTCTTTTTTCTTAGAATGATTTTATTTAACATTATTTATTCATTTAATTTGAACAGAGAGGGACAGAGCAAAAGAGAGAAAGAGAGAGGGAAAGCAAGAAAGCAAGCCGGGAGGTCTGGGACTCTTACATGGTCAGTCATGTGGGAGTCCAGCGCCCTTAACCACCATGCCACCTGCCGGTCCCTCAGAGGATATTCTTAATATATTAAAGATACAGAAATCTGAGTTACTAAACTGGCAGAGCTATGACTAGTACTCAGATTTCTGTTTTCTTCTTTTTTTACTTTTTTCAATAGTATTTTTTTAAGGAGGACAGAAGTCAGATTTATTGATGAGCATGAGTAAGGAAGAGGCAGTACAGTATGAACCCTCATGAGTATAAGGTTTGCCACTTGTCTAGGGGACCACGATTGGGGATGAGGTGCTTCTCAGCCACCATGCCTTCAAATTCATCAGCGTTAAACTCCGTAAAGCCCCACTTCTTTGAGATGTGGATCTTCTAACAGCCAGGGAACTTAAATATGGCCCTGCGGAGGGCCTCCATCACATGCTCCTTGTCCTACAGCTTGGTGTGGATGGACATGATAACCTGGTCAATGTGGACCCTGACTACTGTGCTCTGGGGCTTTCCAAAGGCACCCCTCATACCTGTCTGGAGCCTGTCAGCCCCAGCACAGGACAACATCTTGTTGAGCATCACATGGAAAGGATTTAGGAATAGGGTTAGGGTAGGAAAACCATCTTTGCCACACTTTTTCATCATGTACTTGTTTGCACAAATACGGGCAGCCTCCAGGGCCTCTGACAAGAGCTGTTCATCTGATGCCAGGTGGCCACAGACTGGCAATTCATCCACTTTTGCCTTATTCTGCCCCAGGTAGAAGATGGAGATCTTGGCATCTGGGATACAGCAGAAGCACAACTTTGGGTGGGGCTTGTTCTCACGATATGGGTAACAACAGGTGGGGTGGTGGCCCATGGTTGACAGCAAGATCTTCAGTGGTATGCCAGAGGCAAAGAGCTCAATACAATTTTTAAAAATAATTTATTATTTATATTTAGTTATATATCTTTGTGGGGTATAATATGCTCTTTCGAGGGATCAGCAGATAGCATAATGGCTATGTTGCTGGATTTCCATGTAGTTGACTATGGTTTGAGTCCTGGACCCGGTGGCATAAACTCATGCCAGGCGCATGTGCGTGCGTGCCCAAGATCCCGAGAGGAGAATGGAAGAGAAGGGATTGCGGCGTGGTCATCTCCCCTGGCGGAGGTGGGGGGGTGATTTCTCGCTTTTTGTCTCTCTGTCTCTCTCTGTCTTTCTGAGAGGAGGGCACGTGCCCTTTGCCAAAAACCTTGCCCAAAAAAAAAAAAAAAAAAAAAAACCCAATATGCTCTTTCAAAACATGCATGTTGTTTGTGATAATCAAATCAAGGATATTACCATATTCATTATTGTCTTTATTTTTTTAAAAAATTATTTAACTTTATTTATTTTTAATTTGACCAGAGGGGGACAGAGAGAGAGAGAGAGAAAGCAAGTCACCAAGTCCGGGACTCGAACCACAGTTAGCCATGTGGAAGTCTGGTGCCCTTAACCACCACGCCACCTGCCAGCCCCACATATTCATTATTTTCAACAGAAACACCTCATTATCATGTATACCTTCAGTTTTTGTTCTTCTGGTTTATTTATCTTTTTTAAAAAATATATATATCAAAAACTATAGGGCCAGCAGGTGGCATGGAGGTTAGAGTGGGTGGATCCCACATGGCCAACTACATGGATCAAGTCCAGAACTCAGCAGCTTGAAAATCACACCAGGCATGTGTGCATGCATGCCCAAAATCCTAAGAGGAGAATGAAGAAGGGATTACAGTGTGACCATTCCCCCAGGGGATGATTTCTCACTCTGGCAAGTACTTGTACTCTATAGCAAAACTTAAAAAAAAATAAAAAAAAGTATAGAGAGAGAGAGAGAGATTGGCAACATTTCTTTCACCCCATTGTGATATGTCATTCCACAATCCAGTTGCCCCATCTTCATACATTCTTGTGACTGTTAAAATGCTTTATGCTTTTTTCCTGAGTCCCTCCCACCTACCCTCTCAAACTCAAACTTCTTACAGTTACCTTCCCTAGAAAACATGTTTGGTTTACATCACTAGACTCCCATGTAGTCAACCGCAGTCTGAGTTCCAGACCCTGTGGCTTCAAACTCATGCTGGGTACATGTGTGTGTATGACCAAAATCCTGAGAGGAGAATGGAGAAGAGATTGCTGTGTGGCCATCCCCCTGGGTAGTGATTTCTTGCTTTCTATCTCTCAGTCTCTCTGGTGAGTGCACATGTTCTATAGCAAAAGTCTTTCAAAACAAAAGAAAGCATGTGTTTGGTTCGGTTTAAAAATCAAGAACTTTCAGTAAGTTTTATATAAGTTGAGCATCCCTAATCTAAAAATCCAAAATCCAAAATGCTCCAAAATATGAAACTTTTAAAGTAACAGCAAGAGGGACCAGCAGTTGGCGTAATGCCTATGTCACTGGACTCCCATGTAACTGACCACAGTTCAAGTCCCGGACCCGGTGGCTTAAACTCATGCCAGGCATGTGTACGTGCATGTCCAAGATCCCGAGAGGAGAATGGAGGAGAAGGGATTGTGGCGTGGCCACCCCCCGGGGGGGGGGATTGTGGCGTGGCCACCCCCTGGGGGGGGTGATTTCTTGCTTTCTGTCTCTCTGTCTCTCTCTGTCTTTCTGGTGAGTGCGCACGCTCTATAGCAAACACCTCTCCAAAAAATATACAAATAAATAAATAAAATAACAGCAAGATGCCACAAATGGAAAATTCTACATGTAACCTTATGTGACTGGTGGGTCAAAATGTAGGCTTACAATACAGTTTATTCAGCATCCCTCAAAAAAAGACTCCCAGCCCTCTTTACCTGCGATATATCTCTTCTACACACAGCCAGTTTCTTCCACACAAGTATACCCACAAAAGGTTTCGTGGACAAAATTATGTAAAATATTATATAAAATTACCTTTGGTCTATGTGTATAATATATATATGAAACATAAATGAATTTCATATTGAGTCTTAGGTTCTATTCCCAAGATACTTCATTACATATATGCAAATATTATAAAATCCAAAAAAATCTGAAATCTGAACAATTCTGGCCCCAAGCATTTCATTATAAGGAATATTCAACATGTAGCACTTTAAGATATAGCAAAGTTGGGGCTGGCAGGTGGCATGGTGGTTAAGGGTACTGGACTCCCACATGGCCAACTGTGGTTTGAGTCCCAAAACTGGTGTCTTGCTTTCTCACTTCCCCTGCCTCTCTCTCTCACTTACTCTGTCCCTCTCTAGTCAAATTAAAATAAATAAGGTTAAATAAAAATAATTATTTAAAAAAATATATAGCAAAGTTAGAGTTGGCCCCAAAGCATAGTAGCTAAGGGAGCCAGATCCCACATGGCCAAATACAGTTCAAATCCCAGCCCGGCCACCTGAAAAACATGCCAGGTACATATACATGCAAGTCCACAATCCCGACAGGATGAGGAAATAGAGGGGCAGGGAGTGCTGTGACCACAACCCACTGGAGAGTGCTTTCTCCCTCTCTGTCTCTCTGTCTCTCTCTGGTGAGTGCACATACCCTTTGTCAAGAAAAAAAATCTAAAAGAAAAAAGATATGGGGCCAACAGTAGGTATGGTGATTAAGACTCTGGACTCCTACATGACAACTATGGTTTGAGTCCTGGACCCCACGGCAAAAAACACTCCAGGCATGTGTGCACGTGTGCCCAAAATCTTGAAAAGAATGAAGAAGAGACGAAGGGACTGCAGCATGGCCATGTTCCCTAGCGGGGATTCTCACCCTCTCTCTGTCTCTTTCTGACTAGCTCACCTGCCCTATGCCAAAAACAAAACAAAACAAACAAAAAAGGCAGTTGCATGTGTCCTGTAATTAATAAACAGTGTTAATAAAAATGCAGAGCCTGGCAGGTAGTGTGGTGATTAAGCACTAGACTTCCAAATGATCGACCATGGTTCGAATCCCAGACCTGGCAGCTTGCTTTCTCACTTTCCCTTTCTCTCTCCCTAGTCAAATTTAAAAATAATGATAATGATAAATAAAATTCGAGAAATAAATTTTTAAAAAAGAAAAGATACAGGGACCAGCAGATGGTGTAATGGTTATGTCACTGGACTCCTACCTAGCTGACTGCAGTTCAAGTCCCAGACCTGGTGGCTTAAGCCTCACGCAGGGTGTGTGTGCAAGCATGCCAAGATCCTGAGAAAAGAAAGGAGAAGGCATTGCAGCATGGCAATCACCCCTAGGGGGGTGATTTCTCACTTTCTGTCTGGTGAGCATACATGCCCTATAGCAAAAATCTCTCAAAAGAAAAAGACAGCAAAGCAAATAAATCTAACATTACTCTGACCTGGCAATGATATCATAGAAATGTATTTTGTTTTCTCTCTCTTTGTTCAAAGCTTCCAGGAGGTTGGTGAAAGTCCCTGATTCTTGCAACTCCTGCATGGTATCTTTGATCACATCACTAAAAAATTGCCTGTAAATAGAAGTAAAAAGATAAGTTAATAAGATGTATTTCCTCAAATGCACAGAAGTCACACAAGTTAAGACCCAGAGGGAACGTCATAACTAAAATAGAACTATCCCAGGAATGCAAGAATAGTTTAGCATCAGAAAAATCTCAGGAGAATTCACCACATTAATAAGGGCTAATGGAGATATACAGTCGTAACAGATGCAAAAAAGGCACTTAGGAAAATTCAACATCCCCCATCATTTAAAAACGAGTAACAAAAAATTCTTAGCAAAATAGAGATCAAAGAGAACTTCCTTAGCCTAAAAAGTTTACATACTGTCAAAAGAAAAATCTGAGGCACACTAAAATGTTAAAGTTTATTTGAGGGGCCTGCAAGTGGCATGGTAGTTGACCAAAGCGGTCTAGTATTCCAATGACAAAATGTCAGAGGAAAATATTTAACAGGAAAATATGGAAGCAAAATAATGATGTAATTGGCTTGTAATTACAAAATTGCCTTTTTTAGGTACTTGTTGGGAAGTCCCTAGTCACCTAGTCACGTTAGGTGGCTGTCTAACATACGTACTGACCAGAAATGACCCAAGATAATTTGTGCTTATGTTTGTAGATCACGCAAGGTTGAGATCATAAATGCAGCCTGACTGCTTTTTTTAAAAGAAGTATTTATCTTATTTTATTATTATTATTATTATTTTTAGAGAGATTTTTGGGATTGGGCACATGTGCTCACCAGAGAGACAGAAAGTGAGAGATCACTCCCCGGGTGATGGCCATGCCCCGGCTCCTTCTCCTCCATTCTCCTCTTAGAGTTTTGGGCAGGCACACACATGCATGCACCTTGTGTGAATTTTAAGCCACCGGATCCAGGACTCAAATTGTGATCAACTACATGGGATTCTAGCCATCTGCTGGTCCCCATTATTATTATGTTTTAATTTGACCAGAGATAGAGAAAGAGAGGGAGAGTGAGGAAGCAAGCTGCCAGGTCCAGGACCTAAACCATGGTCAACCATGTGGGAGTCCAGCACCTTAACTACCATGCCACCTATTTGCCCATCTAACTGCTTTTGTCTGCTCAGGGATTCTTCAGTTCAGGTCTCCATTTTAATTTACTTCAACTTTACCAAAGACCAACCACAAATACTAAATCTATGTATCCCAAATGTAGGATACCATGTATATAGCATGTAAAACTACATGTATTATTTAAATAATACACATAAAAACACAATAAAAGCATCGCAAAATGCTAGAGAACAATAAGCATCAAATTTAGAAGAGTATCTTTGGGGGAAGAGTGAGGGGACTGGTGAAAAAGAATTCAGAGAAGTTGGAATTTTCTGGCCCCACAGGGACATGAGCAATGAGGCCTTTGTTATGCCTCTCAGCCACGGTCTCTTGCCCTCTCTACTGCCCTCCAGCTCCTCAGGATGTTGGGCATGTGCATGTAACCTATGTGTTTTCAGGGCAACTCAGGGATCCAGGCCCACAGTTGGCCATGTGAATTTCAGAACTGCAGTTCAGTTTGCTACCAACTGTGTCACCAAGCTGGGCCCAGCGGGAGTCCTAGGCAAACATGTGGTAAACTCCTCTCTTCTTGCCCTTTTTTCCCCCCAATATAAATTAACCTTCTTGATGGCTATTTTTGGTGTGCACTTTTAGGCAGCTAAAATCTGTATCTCCCATGTGATTTGTCCTAAGTCCTTAGCTCAAATAAACCATTTTCATTTCACTTACTATATCTTGGCCCTCCTTTTTCAAGTTGACAACACTGAGAATGAAAAACACATTACTGGGACCAGCAGATGGCATAATGGTTATGTTGCTTGACTGCCACCTGGCCAACTGCCATTCGAGTCCTAGAGCCAGTGGCTTGAAACTCTTGCCAGGTGCATGTGCGTGCATGCCCAAAATCCAGAGAGGAGAATGCTGGAGAAGGGACTGCGATGTGGCCATCACCCCCGGGGGGTGATTGCTCTCTTTCTGTCTCTCTGTTTCTCTTTGTCTTTGCAGCAAGCAAAAAAAAGAAAGAAAAAGATTACTGTTGGAGCCAGCAGATGGCATGGTGGTTGAGGTGCTGAACTCTCACGTGGCCGACGCAGTTTGAGTCCTGGACCTTGTGGCTTGCTTTCTCACTCTCTCTCTCTGTCTCTCTGGTCAAATTAAAAAAATAAATAATAATAATGAATAAAAATAAATAAATAATTCTTTTTTAAAAAGACATTACCTGGCCAACTGGTGGAAAGGTGGTTAAGGCAGCTGGATCCCACATGGATAAGTCTGTGGTTCAAGTCCCAGAACTAGCAGCTTGGAAAATATCTTGGGGTCGGCAGGCAGTGTGGTAATTAAAGGTGCTAGACTCCCACATGGCTGACTGCAGTTCAAGTCCCAGACTTCGCAACTTGCTTTCTCATTTTCCTCTCTCTCTCTGGTCAAATTAAAAATAAATTAATTAATTTAATTAAATAAGTTATTCTTTTAAATAGAAGGAAAAAGAAAACTATGTTCGTGTGCATGTGTGTGCCCAAAATCTTGAGAACAAAGAAGAATGGATGAGAAGGGTTAGAGCATGGCCATGCCCCCATCAGAGATGATTTCTTGCTTTTTTTCCTAGCTTGCGCTCTCCAGTGAGCACATACACCCGATAGCAAAAAAAAAAAAACAACTGATGTTACATAGATCATAGATAGGGCAGTTTATAAGCAGAATATCTTTCTGTCACATATGCAAATTGGGCAGACTGATTTTAGCAAGGCACAATACCCTTCATTAGGGTTTAATATAGATGTTGCCAAACTTTTATTCCAATAAAGGAATAAATAATATATCTAGCTTTTCAGGTCATAAATTCTCTTTTGCAACTATTGAACTCTACCACTGTAGCATAAAAACCGCCAGAGATAATGTGAATAAATGGGCAATGCTGCATTCCTATAAAACTTTCCAAAAACAGACTTCATTCAGGCTGCATTTACCTAATGGCCATGGGTAACTTCTATATAGTAAATTCCCATTTACCAAAAGTCCTTGCCATAAAGTTATACCCTCTTTTCAGGTTAAGAAGCTTCTGTGTTAGCAAGCCAGTCGACAACGAAGAAATGAATGATAGCACAATGGGAACGAGTCCTGTCTTAGGACTCCGACCTGTCTCAGGATTGGCAGGACCAGCAGATGGTATACTGTTTATGTCACTGGACTCCCACGTGGCTGACCACAGTTCAAGTCCTGGACTTGGGACCAGCAGTTAGCATAATGGCTATGTCACTGGACTCCCATATAGTCGACCGCGGTTCGAGTCCTGGACCTGGTGGCTTAAAACTAATGCCAGGTGTGCATGCGTGCATGCCCAAGCTCCCAAGAGGAGAATGGAGGAGAAGGGATTGCGGTGTGGCCATCCCCCCTAGGGGGTGATTTCTCACTTTCTGTCTCTCTGTCTCTCTCTGTCTGTCTGGCGAGCGCATGTGCCCTGTAGCAAAAACTTCTCAAAAAAAAAAAAAAAAAAAAAGTCCTGGACTCAGTGGCTTGAAACTCATGCTCTGTGTGTAGGCATGTGTATGCCCAAGATCCCAAGAGGAGAATGGGGCATGGTCATCCCTCCTGGGGAGTGATTTCTCGCTTTCTGTTTGTCTTTCTGTCTCTGCCTCTCTGGTAAGAGTACAATGCCCTTCAGTAAAAATCTCTCTCAGAAAAAAGAAACTCTCAGGACAGGGCCAGCCAGTGGCATGGTACTTAAGGCAGTTGGATGTCATATGGCTGACCGTGCCCTTTGAGTCCTGGACCTGGTGGCTTGATAAAACATCCTGGGCATGTGTGCATTCATGCCTAAATTCCCAATAAAAGGGAGAGTTGGAAAAGGGATTGCTAGATGATCATTCCCTATGTGGGTGCCTTCTTACTCCCCCCATCTCCCAGAAGTGAACCTACTCTCAGCCAAAAAAAGAACAAAATAAATAAATAGATAAATAAACCCTCAGGATTAAAATTCTCCATGGATGGGACCAGCAGTTGTTGTAATGGCTATATCGCTGGGCTCCCATGTAGTCGACCGTGGTTTGAGTCCCAGACCTGGTGGCTTAAACTCACACCAGGCACATGTGCATATGTGCTCAAGATCCCGAGAGGAGAATGGAGGAGAAGGGACTGTGGCATGGCCATCCCCCCGGGGGGTGATTTCTCGCTTTCTGTCTCTCTGTCTCTCTCTGCCTTTCTGGTGAGTGCATGCGCCCTATAGCAAAAACCTCTCAAAAAAAAATTAAAATTAAAATTAAATTTAAAAAAAGAATTATTATAACTTTATTCATTTATTTATTTTTAATTGAATAGAAAGAAATGGGGGGGAGTGAGAAAGCAAGCTGCCAGGTCCGGGACTCAAACTGTGGTTGGACATGTGGGAGACCAGCACCCCAATCACCATGCCAGCTCCCCCACATTATTTTTTAAAGAATTATTTTAACTTTATACTAAAGCTCTATTTCTAATCCTTACACTAATGCTTGTAAGATGATCATTATTTTTTAAAATTTTTTCTAAAGAATTATTTTATTTAACTTTATTTATTTATTTATTTAAATTTGACCAGAGAGAGACAGATCAGAAAAGAGAGAGAAAGAAAGAGGTAAAGTGAGAAAGCAAGCTGCCAGGTCTGGGACTCAAACTACAGTTGGTCATGAAGATATCTAGTGCCCTTAACCACCACGCCACCTGCCAACCCCTTAATTTTTTAAGTTTTTTTTTTTTTTTGCCATAATACATGTGTGCTCAGCAGAGAAAAACAGTGAGAGAGAAAGGAAGAAATCACCCCCGAGGGAGATGGCCAAGCTGCAATCCCCCTCCTCCATTCTCTTCCTGGGATTCTGGGCATGCACATACACGTACCGGCATGATTTTCAAGTCACTGGGTCCAAAGCTCCAAACATATTTGGCCATGTAGCAGTCCAGCTCCTTAACAACTATGCCACCTGCTGGCCCCCATAATTCTCACTTTTAGGTTTTTTTTTTTTTTTTTGGAAAGGTTTTTGCTATAGTACGCATGTGGTCACCAGAAGGACAGAGAGACAGAAAGTGAGAAATTGCCCCCTCAGAGGGGATGCCCATTCCGTAATCCCTTCTCCTCTGTTCTCCTCTCAGGACTTGGGGCATACACACACATGCACCTGACAGGACTTTCAAGCCTGTTGGTTCAGGACTTGAACCACAGTTGGCCATGTGGGAGTCCAGCACTATGCCACCTGCTGGCCTTATAATTCTAATATTTAAAAACATTTAATTGTATTTATTTATTCTTTTTTTTTTCTTTTTTTTTTTTTTCTAGAGAGGTTTTTGCTATAGGCCGCATGCACTCGCCATAAAGACAGAGACAGATGGGAAACAGCAGTTAGTGTAATGGCTATGTCACTGGACTCCCCTGTAGTCGACCGTGGTTCACGTCCCGGACCCGGTGGCTTAAAACTCACGCCGGGTGCGTGTACGTGCGTGCCCAAGATCCCGAGAGGAGAATGGAGGAGAAGGGATTGCGGCAGCGGCATGACCATCCCCCCTGGGGGGTGATTTCTCGCTTTCCGTCTCTATGTCTCTCTCTGTCTGTCTGGCAAGCGTATGCGCCCTATAGTGAAAAACCTCTCCAAAAAAAATAATAATAATAAAATAAAGACAGAGACAGAGAGACAGAAAGCGAGAAATCACCCCCCAGAGGGGATGGCCATACCACAATCCCTTCTCCATTCTCCTTTTGGGATCTTGGGCATGCTCACACACACATCCATCATGAGTTTAAGCTGCCAGGTCCAGGACTTGAACAGCGGTCGACTACATGAGAGTCCATCAACATAGTCATTACTCTAACTGCTGGTCCCTCTTTTCTTTTCTTTTGTATTCATTTATTTTAATTTGACCAGAGATAGAAAGTGAGCAAGCAAGTTGCCAGGTCTGGGACTTGACCCATGATTAGACATTTGGGAGTCCAGTGCCTTAACTACCATGCTACCTGCTGGTCCCCATCATTCTAATTTTTAAGAACTGGAAAGAAATGCTCAATATCTCACCCAATAGCAAATAGCCTTCAACTCTGTCATGCTGTGCCTTGGAATCCTGTAGCTAATCCTATTATCAGCAGTCATTTTGCATACAACTAACCCAGAACAGAAGATAATGGTTAGTTAGGCTCTCCTTTACCCATTCTCTGCATCTATGTGTAAATACATTATTACATGTCCAAATATGCTTTCCTTCCTTACCTGTCAATCTGAATTTTCTTCAGTGTCTCCGTAGTAATTATGGTCTGTCTTGTAGGTTTTTTGAAGATATGATCCTGTATTCTGTTCAAGTCCACAGCACCTTGGCCTTCTTTTCTGATTTCTGGCAACTTGGGCTCTTCTTTAGGGTAAAATTGACTATATCTTTTTGAGGTTGAGGACATCGGAACTAGACTTTTTCTTTCCAAATGTATTTCTTTGCTTTTCTTTTAAAACAAGAAATGATATTAAGAAAGCTTCTTCTTCTTCTTCTTCTTTTTAATACGTAAAGATAAAATACTATTAAATAAAAATTATAGGAGGCTACTATTTTGGCCTAAGTTCTTGCACTAGACCCCGACATACCAGACTAAAAATCAAAATGGAGTCACTTGTGCGAAAGTTCCCAAACTAAGTTGTTCATTTGATCTTCTGAGAAATCAGAATGAGAGAGACCTGGACTGGTCAGCTTCAATCTGCATAATAAAGAAGTTCCTTCTGCTTTAATCACTACACAGAAAGAACCTGCAATAACCTGACATCAACCAATCAGTTATTTCTCTACTGTTCTGTCTCCTACTCTTCACTTGACAAGGAAAGCAACTTTGAAATAACCAATCAGCTTTTTGTTCCTTGGTTCTGCTTTCTTCAGCCCTTTGCTTTTAGCAAAACAACCTCTTACACTCAGCTCATGAGAATGTTTATTCTAGTTACAAATAAAATGTTGCCTGATTCAAGAATTGTAAATAAATCCAATGAAGATCTTAAACTTATTGTAATTCTGTCAATATTATAAGAAAGAGGACCTCTGTCTATATTTTTTAAGAATTATTTCTTTTATTTTATTATTTTTTTAAAGAACTATTTTATTTATATTTATTTATTTACTTAAATTTGACCAGAACGGGACAGAGAGAGAGCAAGTTGCCAAGTCCGGAACTCAAACCATGGTCAGCCATATGGGAGTCCAGTGCTCTTAACCACCATGTCACCCGCTGGCCCCAATTTATTATTTTTTTTCACATGCATTCGCCAGAGACAAAAAAAAGAAAAAGAGAGAGAAAAGGAAAGTGAGGAAGGAAGCCACCAGCTCTGGAACTCGAACCATGGTCAGCTATGTGGGAAGTCCAACACCTCAATCACCATGCCACCTGTTGTCCCCTATATTTTTCTTTAAAAAAAAAAATCATTTAATTTTGGAGCCAGCAGCTGGCATGGTGGTTGGGGCACTGGACTCCCACATGGTCGCCCATGGTTTGAGTCCTGAACTCGGTGGCTTGTTTCCTCACTATCATTCTCCTCCTCTCTGCCTCTCTCTGGTAAAATTGAAGAATAATAATAAATAAAATTAAATAATTTTAAAAAGCCATGAGGCCCAGGACTTGAACCACAGTTGGCCATATGGGAATCCAGAACCACCATACCACCTGCTGGCTGGAAATGTGCCTTTTTCTTCAATCACCAAACCATGAGTCCTGCCATTTTGTCTTCTTACCTTCACACAACATTCCCTCTCTCTGTCATTTCCCAATATACTGACTGGTAAACCAACAGACTCTGATCAAAGGTAAAGTTCCTAGTGAAATATCTGTTAGCCAGCATTCACCATGTTGTATTTTTCTTTTTTTTTTAAGAGAGATTTTTGCTACAGGGCACATGTTCTCCCCAGAGAGACAAAGAGAGAAAGTGGGAAATCACCCCGCAAGGGGGATAGCCAAGTCACAATCCCTTCTCCTCCACTTTCCTCTCAGGATTTTTGGCACCCATGTGCACATGCTCAGTGTAAGTTTCAAGGCTCTGGGTCCAGGACTTGAACTGCGGTAAGCCATATGGGAGTCCTGCAGCTTAACTGTCATACCACCTGGTGGCCCCACCATATTATGAATACTTGTAAAATATCTCCATCACATTATAGGTTCTATGGTGGAAGGGATAGTGTCTGATAGATCTTGATTCACTTCCATTTTTCTTTTTAATTTGCTAGAGGGTGTGTGAGCCTAAGAGAGAGAGAGAAAGAGAAAGAGAGGGGGAGAGAGAGAGAGAGAGAGAGAGAACAAGAAAGGACCTACAATGTGGGATGATCACACCTCAATCCTTTCTCTTCCATTTCCCCCTCCTGGGATTGTGGGCAAACGTATATATGCACCCAGCATGTTTTCCAGGCCCCTGGTTCTGGGATTTGAACTACATGGTTAGCCATACAGGATCAAGCTGCTTTACCCACCTTGCCATGAGATGGCAATTCTCTTTTTATTTATTTATTTATTTTTTGCCAGAGGGCACATGCGCTTGCTCGAGACAGGAAAAGAGAGAGTGCCAGGACCTGCTCAGCATGAGCAAGGTTTTCTGAGTGGGGAAGGCTGTGGATTAGAAATAGATGCAATAACAAACACACAAAGACACACGAGTATAGAAAAGTGAGGATCCGATGGGCACAGCTTCTCTGATGGAGAAGTTGTGACAGAAATCAGCCTCAGGTTTATTCTTTTAAAGGGCAGAAAATGGGAGAAGTGGAAATGGGACTCAAAGAGAATAGGAGAGAAGGAAATGGCATGCAAAGCCAGTTGTTTTGGGATGTAAATCATTAATTTCTCTGATCCTTTAGGGGGACAATCTGATAAACACATGTGACTCCCTTTAGCCCCACACTGGCAGTATCAGGGTACTGGTTATCAACAACAAGAAGAAGAAAACTATTGACAACAGACAGATAGTGTTTCCGTATGTAAATGTTTTCCAATAGCCCTGCTAGAGTAGTTTACTGAAGTGCGTTTCTGCATGTGTCTAAAGGTCACAGGTTTTCTCAGACTGCTGCTCTCCACAAGAGAGAGAAAAAGAAGAAAGCCCCCCATGGAGGAGCCACACCACAATCCCTTTCCTTCCATTTCCCCTTGCGTGCACACACATGCCCTGTATATACTCTAAGCCATCAAGTCCAGGACTCAAATCGTGCAGTCAGTTGTGTGGGATTCAGCCACAGTAACCACCACACTGCCAGTTGGTTCCCTTCATTAATTTTTTAAAAATATTAGTATCAAATTCCATTTGGAATAAGATTAGACATTAAATATGACCATCTTTATCATCCCATTGTTTAGAATAATGCCTAGGATACAGTAGAGTCCCAAATGTTCATCAAACACATGAATTTGAAATATAAAGAATGAAAGGTGAATCATGCTGAAAAGCAGAAGTTGATAGCAGATTTAGTGAAGTAGCACAGATTTTGAGGCCCATACAGGAAAAGCCAAACGAAACTGAAATGGGGACCACAGAGATAGTATGTTTTTAATTTGTGATTTCTCTTTAATCTGTGGCTAAGGGACCAGCAGATAGCATAATAGTTATGTCACTGGACTCACACGTGGTCAACTGTGGTCCAAGTCTCAGACCTGGGGGCTTAAAACTCACACAGGGCATGTGTGTTTGTGTGCTCATGATCCCAAGAGAATAGAGGAGAAGGAATTGCGGTGTCACCATCCACCTGGAGGGTGATTTTTCACTTTCTGTCTCTCTGTCTTTCTCTGTCTCTCTAGCGAGCACACACGCCTTATAACAAAAATCTCTCTTAAAAAAAGACAGTTCTTGGCCTCTAATTTATTTGTCCTCATAAATTAATAAAGAAATTAATTTAGTTAAAATTTCTTATATTTGTTAGTGTCATTTAGAAACTACTCCAAACATTAGAGATGGCATAGCAATACACAAAACTCTACAAGGATCTACATGTTAAAGTTCCAGGTTCGCATCTAGAGACCTCCCTGAACATGCTAGGTGCGCACATGCCCATGACCTGGGGCTTGCTGAGACTAGGCAGGATCATGGTGTTAGGATCCTGGTGGGGGTAGCTGTCCCTGTCTCCTTCGCTCTTACTCAAGGGAGAATAAATAAATAAACTTAAGAGAAAAAAATGCCTCAGGTCTGGCCCCATAGCCTAGTAGTTAAGAGAGATGGATCCCACCTGACTGACTATGGTTTGAATCCTGGCCCCAGTGGCTTGAAAAACACATTGGGCACATGTGCATGTGTGCCAAAAATCCCAAAAGGAGGGAGAGATAAAGAGATTGTAGTGTGACCTATGGCCCATGAGGGGGTGCTTCCTTTCTCTCCCTCTCTCTCTGCTGAGTACATGTACTCTGTGGCAAATTAAAAAAAAAAGAACCCCAACAGGATGGAGAAATGGAAAAGGAATTGTGGTGTGACCATGTTCCATTGTGAATGCTTTCTCCCTCTCCCCACCCTCTCTGATTCTGGCAAGCATACATGCCCTCTGGTAATTCCAAATGAATAATAATAGGGACCAGCAGTTGGCGTAATGGCTATGTTGCTGGATTCCCATGTAGTTGACCACGGTTCAAGTCCCAGACCCAGTGGCTTAAACTCACGTGTGTGTGCATGCCCAAGATCCCGAGAGGAGAATGGAGGAGAAGTGATTGTGATGTGGCCATTCCCCCTGGGGGTGATTTCTCACTTTCTGTCTCTTTGTCTCTCTCTCTGCCTTTCTGGCGAGTGCACGTGCCCTAAAGCAAAAACCTCTCCAAAAAAAAAAAAAAAAAGATTGTAGAGTTGAATTTTTCCCCCTTAGTGTTAAGTTAGCTTCTAGCAGCTGAGAAATACAACTCAGTGTGAATCATTTAATATCGAGATATATAGCATATTTACAGTGATGTAAGGACCAGCAGGTGGTGTGGTGAAAATGCTAGACTCCCACAAGACAGCCACATTTGAAGTCCCAGACATGGTGGCTCAAAAATCACACTGGGGGACCAGCAGTTAGCGTAATGGCTATGTCACTGGACTCCCACGTAGTCGACCGCGGTTCGTGTCCCGGATCCGGTGGCTTAAAACTCACACCGGGCGCATGTGCATGCGTGCCCAAGATCCCAAGAGGAGAATGGAGGAGAAGGGATTGTGGCATGGCCATCCCCCCCCCGGGGGTGATTTCTTGCTTTCTGTGTCTCTGTCTCTCGCTGGCTGGTGAGCGCACACGCCCTATAGCAAAAACCTCTCAAAAAAAAAAAAAAAATCACACTGGGCACATATGTATCTGTACCCAAAATCCCAAGAGGAAAATGGAAGAGAAAAGACTGCAGCCTGGCTATTCCCCTGGGGGTCGATTTCTCACTTTCTCTCTCACTGTCTGTCTCTCTCTAGGGAGCATATGTGCCCTATGGCAAAACAAAACAAAACTATAGTGATTTAATTATCAGCTTCTTTGAATAATACCAACATATTGGAAAAGGATATTCTGCCTAATAATATACTTTGAGCTATGGCTATTTCATGCCATCAATTGATACTACCTATCTCAGATGATTATTGTGGCCCTTTATCTAAAGTAAAGGTGCCAGGGGCCGGCAGACGGTGTGGTGTTTAAGGGTGCTAGATTCCCATACGGCCCACTGCGTTTTGAGTCCTGGACTTAGCAGCTTGCTTTCTCACTTGCCCTCTCTCTTTCTCTCCCTCTTTCTCTGTCCCTCTCTGGTCAAATTAAAAATAAATAAAGATAAAGATAACATTTTTTTTAATTAATAAAAGTGCTATTTCCTACATTATATTTAATGGCATTGACATACCAAAAATAAAAGATGGAGAGGAATGAAAGGAGAGAAAGCAAAATGACATAACGCTGCGTGAATATACCTACCATGCTGCTGTTCGGTCTTCTTTCATACTGGACTGGCATGATATAGCTTAGAATAGAGAGTTGGTCTGTGGCATCCTCCAGAACTGCAGAGATCCTCAGCACATCTAGAAGGGACAGTGGCTCAATGGTCTCTGGGATGATTTCTACCTGTGTTTCTTTAGCTGTTTCTTCTTCTTCTAAAGCACCAGGTGGCTCGCCGGTGACTGACATCATCACCTCAGAATGCCAGGTTTTTGAGGATAAGTTTGAAGTTTCCAGCTTGTCTCTAAGGAAAAATAAAGAAAAAATAAGTCAGCAACTAACATTTAAATATTACTTAAACAGGGACCAGGCAGTGGCACAACAATAACATAACTGGACTAGGTCCTGGGTTTGTGAGCTGGGACCTCACTGAGCACACTGTGCACGTGTGTGCATGCCCGTGACTTTTGCTGGCTGAGGTGTCTGTTTCTTTGTCTCTCTTTCTCTCATGGAAGAAATAAATAAATCTTTTTAAAAAAGTAAAGGGGACCAACAGGTGGCGTGGTGGTTAAGGCGCTGAACACTCCCACATGGCTGACTATGGTTCGAGTCCTAGACCAGGTGGCTTGCTTTCTTACTTTCCATGTGTGTGTGTGTGTGTGTGTGTGTGTGTGTGTGTGTATCTTTCTCTCTGGTAAAATAGAAAGTAATGGAGTCCCAGCAGGTGACATGGTAGTTAAGGTGCTGGACACTCCCACATGGCCAGCCATGGTTCGAGTCCCATATCTGGTGGCCTTGCTTTCTCACTTCCCCCTCTCTCACTCTCTGTGTCTTTCTTGGGCCAAAATAAAATAAATTAATGAATAATTTTTTAATGAATACATAAATAAAAATAAATAATTCTTTTTTAAAAAGTAAATATTACTAAACTTCAAAGCATAGGCAGCATTTATCAATAGAATGGCTCCTGTGATGTTTATATTATTATATAATGTACATAAAAAACAAAAGTGAGATATTTCCCTTAAGTATCTCCCATTTTTACCAAAGGCCAACATCTTACTCTTTCATAAAGATATGTAGCTCATGCTATTTGGCTATACATAACCAATTTAAATTTGAGACAAAATTAACTTTTTTCTTATCAGTATGTTTAGATGCTAACCAAAAGTGTGTCATAGTAAAAAAACAAAGTCAAGGGAACCAGCAGTTAGCGTAATGGCTATGTCGCTGGACTCCCACGTAGTCGACCGCGGTTCGTGTCCCGGACCCGGTGGCGTAAAACTCA